GGGCCTGGCACTTCAGGCATAAATACCGTATCTGTGAAGAAAGTTGAAGTATTGTACGTACTTGGAAGTATATAACTTGAATTTTCAGCTTTTTCACAAGAGGATTGTAATACGCGACCGAGTGACAAGGCAAAACTGGTTCAGTCTCTCCGGCCAAACACAGGTAGTATTCTCAGGGAACAATATTGCACACACGGAACGACAAACGTAGGTGACACAGAATTACTTATAGTATATTGAAAGACTCGATAAGTGAAGGGAAGACGACAGAAACAACGGAGGCAAAGACTCTGCAACAACTGAGCTGGGCAACTGACACGACATCCAATGTCGGGTGTTTCTCTGAGAACGAATCAAGGGGCTCGATTAGATACGAAGTATCAGCAGCAGGAGAGCCAGCAGCACATACCGACGGGGCAACCGGAAGAATAACTTCATGACAGGGCGGAACTGAAACAGACTGTGTGATGCACACACGGAACGAGGAAGCAACACGAGACACCAGAGATTCAACAGCATTGGCAGCAGCAGCAGGCGGAGCAGCAGCAGCAAGCACGGAGGCAGGGACGGCAGCAGGTACGGAGGCAGCGACGGCAGCAGGAACAGTCGGAGCACTCAGGTCGGGCACGACAGTCGTAACATGGGCTGGTGTGGGCGCGGCAGCAACAGCAGCAGAAAGCGAACGCACACGTGGAAGGGGTACAAGCGGCAATTTAACATCATCCAGGACCAACTGAGCCCGGGAGAAATCAAGCAGGACATTGTGCTGCTGTAGGAAGTCAGCACCGAGGATTACATCAGACGTGATATCAGCAGCAACGATAAAATTCTGAACAGCTACGAACGAGGGTGTACAAACAGAGAGGGACACGGTACCCGTAGTGGAGAGGGGACGGCCCGTCACACCAGACACAACAGGAGCAGCAGACACAGGGACAGAGGAGGTCGTGCACAGACTACGCCACAATGCAGTAGACACAAGTGAAACACTAGAACCAGTGTCAACAAGAGCATGGCATTGCGTATCTTGGAGACTAACCGCAACATAGACAGACGGAGAAACTGCAGAAGACGACTGAACATGAGTAACAGGACACACAGTCACAGGTGCAGACGTAGGGCAACGCACATCAACAGTACAATAACAGGGACGACATTCACAACCAGTACAAGTCGGCACAGTCGAGCTAGGAACACTAGTATCGAAGACTGGAGCTTGCCGAGCAGCACCAGTCAATAGCGGTTTCCCGACGGACGACCCCCACGCGTCGAGTGGGGACAATCACGACGGAAGTGGGACGGATCGCCACAATTGAAGCACCCGCGATCCCGCGCGCCATCGTAAAGTCCGCGGCCTGTGCCGTTGTACGGAGGCGGGTTACGATTCGAGCTGCCAGGAAATCGAGTTGGGCCCGACATGGGCGCGCTTCGAGGGAAGACGCTGTGACCACGGCCGCGTGGAGCTCGAGTGTCGTCACTATACGCCCGTGGCGACGGAGCGGAGGTTGCGGAGAAGACCTGTAGATCAGCTAGCTGGTCCGAAATTTTGCTCAACAACGATAGTACGAGCGGGTCGGTGGAGCTCGAAGTCGAACTCGGAGCTACGTGGGCCACGGTGGCACTGGACGTAGGAGTCGGATCCGCGAGTGGACCTACGGAGTGTGCCTGAGGCATAGAGGCGGTCAGGGCAGCGCAGGCTGGTGTAGGAACCGGAAGACTGCGGCGATTCTCGACCTCTAAGATCGCTGCAACTTCGTACGCCCGTCGAACGGCGGCATCGAGGGCTGCAGGGCTGGATGTCCTGATGTGCAAGCGCAGGTCACTATTGACCTGGCCGTCAATAAATTGATTGAGCGTCAGGCGATCTAACAGCGGACCCTGTTGACCTGGAAAGGCGCGTGCCGCAAGGCGCTGAAGAGCTGCGGCGAACTCGGCCTGGGACTCAGTGGATCGTTTCAGGCGAGCTCGAAACTCGGCCTCAAGGAGGCGACTTTGCTGTGGCGGTGCGAACCGTAGCCCTAATTCGGTGCACATTTCTACATACGTATACTGCGGGTGCGCCGCCAGAATGGTCTGGTAAGTTGTAAAAGCACTCTCCTTGAAACAACAAGGTAAAAACTGCAGCCTTTCCGCATCCCGGTACCCATTGACCACGCACGCTGCGTCGAACCTGGCGATGAAGCAGTGCCAATCGTCTTGGCTGGCACCCCCAAACGTCGGCGGTACAACTACCGGCCGAGCAAGTGGTGCCTGTCGAGGAGCCGGAACCTGACCCGGAGCCAGAGCTGGTGCAGCGGGAGCAGCAGCGGCAGCGGCAGCAGCAGCTTGAGGATTCTGTGCCATTTTCGGTGTCTTGTATATAAGGATAACAAACAAACAAGTAGGCCTATAGGACTTCGCAAGCAACACGGGACGCGTTTGAGGACTAAGCCTACGCTATAGCAACAGTTCAAGTACGGCGAGCAGTGCAAGAAAAACTGGCAACGAAGAGCTAGCTTACTTAGGGGACAAGACTACGAATAGATCCAACAAAGTAAGCCTAGAAAATACTAGCACTACAAAAATGTAAATATTAAAATCGTAAATTGGCACGGAACAAAGTTACTCAGCTTGAGTTGAGACGAGAACGGCAACGGCAACGTTCACTGCACGGCGAAAGAACGAGGCGTGGTCCGGAATACTGCGACTGACGAACGCAGAGCTAACACCGCTGCCACCAAATGTAATACGCGACCGAGTGACAAGGCAAAACTGGTTCAGTCTCTCCGGCCAAACACAGGTAGTATTCTCAGGGAACAATATTGCACACACGGAACGACAAACGTAGGTGACACAGAATTACTTATAGTATATTGAAAGACTCGATAAGTGAAGGGAAGACGACAGAAACAACGGAGGCAAAGACTCTGCAACAACTGAGCTGGGCAACTGACACACGGATCTATATATATGGTACGAGATTGCCAGTTACAGCTCCGAGCGCTAGTTAGCGAATGAAAGCAAGGGATCTGATGGTGTCAGCAATGCATAGTGCAATACATAGTAATACATAGTGATTTGTGTAGGGGGAAGTCCGTCTACTACACTACATAGTAATACATAGTGATTTGTGTAGGGGGAAGTCCGTCTACTACAAGGATGGTTGCCTTTCTGGGAAGGGAGAGGGTGATAATTTGTCTGCTATACCATTATCTCTTTTTCTGCACTCACCATCCCCTTCTTTTCTTTTTTTGACTATGTGTGCGTGTATGTGTGTTTGTGTGTGTGCGCGCACGCGCGCGTGTGTGTGTGTGTGTGTATGTGTGTGTGTGTGCGTGTGTATGTGTGTGTGTGCATACCATGGGGCGTGTGTGTGTATGTGTACATGTGCGTACACGTGTGTACATATGTGTGTGTACATGTGTGTGTGTGTGTGTACATGTGTACATGTGTGCATGTGTTTGTGTGTGTGTGTGTACATGTGTGTACATGTGTGTACATGTGTGTACATGTGTGTACATGTGTGTGTGTGTGTGTGTGTGTGTGTGTGTGTGTGTGTGTGTGTGTGTGTGTGTGTGTGTGTACATGTGTGCGTACGTGTGCACTCACTCTTAGTTTTCCTGACGTGATGATGCCGTCGTACAACAATCAGAGCTGGTCAGTTTTGTTTTTCATTGTCTACGTGTGCGTGATGGTCTTCATCCTTCTCAATCTGGTACGTCATGATGATAGCAGATGATGGTTTGTCTCATCACTCCCCCCCCCCCCCCCCACCCCTCCTTGAACCACTGTTGGTAGTAGATAAAGACATTGTGGGTTCTCCTACAAACAACTTTCATTTGAAGTTCAATGTCGTGTGCTTTCACAGACTTCTTGGTTGTTTGTTTATATTTATTTCACTTCACCAAATCGAACAGGCATTTTATGCCTTCTCACCGGCGGCTGTGACGGCCGGTTCTCACAAGATGATAAAAAGGCTGGTGTAGGATTGAAGAAAACGCGGGCACCGCGCATAGGGCCGAAATAGATGACGGCGAAAAGCATGTTGCCATAGCGGTTCAGTCGTGCGGGGCCAGTTTTTGGTGGGAGCGTATGCCGCGAGCAATACCGGAACTATTCCGCGCCCATGGGGTAGCAGGGGTGTGGAATAGCGTGTCGTGGCACTTCCTTCGATGGGGTTTGTGGGACAGTACTCACACAACACCCGGTGCCCCACCATGCATCCCTGATACTGTTGCCACTTTTACCTTTTCACGCGCACCAACATCTACTGCTAATCTCGCCTAACTTGATTTTCTCAACTGTATTCACCCGCGGCAGCACATCCTATGCACTCCTTCACCACCAACACCACCGCTGAGAGATATTACAATCCGCGACTTATCGCCTATCTCATCACTACCAATTCCCTCTTTTAGCCAATCGGCTACCACCCATTGCCCTCCATTCTGTATCCACTGACAATAGTGTTCAGAACAAGTGACCGTCTGGAAAGATCTCGTAAAACTCTCTTACTTATGTTCCTGTGTGTGTCACACTAGGTTGAAAAGAAATTATTCAGTGACTACTCCCATTGCCTAGTCACTAGCAAGCTCAATAGCCCACATGTGTTGCACTGTGCATGTGGTGTCCGCCTTTCTAGCTTCTCGCCGTGGTGTTCTCTTCATTCCAAGACTTGGAGAAGACCAAGTTCAGGAAACTGCTTATTCATAAACGGTATGTACGTAAGCGTCATAGTACTGTTGCATGTTTGTTCATCCAACACTGCATTGTAGAGATATCACCGCTACTTGAGGCAGTCATTGATGTAGAACTCTATGCATGTGCATGCAGCATTGATAATAGTGATCATGGCGATGAAGCCTCTTCGTTGGACAAAAACAAGCTAACTGCTCACATTGATAAAAGAACGCTTCTTGAAGAGGGCCCAGCCTGATGACTGCAAAGATGACTAATCGTAAAATTAATGATGATGGTGATAATGAAAATTGGATGGGTAGGAGGATGACACAAAGAGAATGTCATCATTTGACCAAGTCCGACAATCTACGAATGATCAAGCCAACTTACTTCCAAGCTCTCTATGAAAGTCGGTACAGTACGTGTAAAGCCATGATGATGTGTATTAGTCGGGGATCCAGGACAAAAAAAAGTGTCTAAATCTGAAAGTGGTCTGCCACTAGAATCCGAGTAAAATCGAACTGTACAGGTGGAGAGAGTACCTGTTGTGGAGTCGAATGGTAGTTGTTGGCCCGTCTAGATCGGGGAAGGAGCTCCGCGAGAGGCAATTTTAGTTCAGCTTCGTCGGTCACTTGAACTGCTCACCTTTCGTCTCGGGCCGATTCTGAGTTGCGTAGAGTACGCACATGACAACCAAATGCAGTCAAATTTGAAAACTCAAAGCGAGTGTCTGATCTGGTCGGCGACTTCACTTTGTTGTTGATCATATTCTTGGTCAAGAAGTTTACTCTCGCTCTTGTAGAAGTAAAGCACAGGGACTTCGTAAGCCTAGCCTAGATATCGTTTGGTCCTTCCACTACCCACTCGCAATGGGAGCCAACAAACTACCCGTCGTGTCGTGTAGTTTGACGCCGCTTCGCGAGTGATCTCAAATGTTTTCTTGATTGGAATTTCGTTGATACGATCGATACGAGGGACACCTTACCTATCATTCTGCAAAGGTAAGCTTGGACCCTTTCCCTGCTTCTCTCTCAGGCACACACACCTTCAATAGCACTCGATTAAATTAGAGTTAGAGAAGACTAGAAATGATATAAACGCATTGTAGTCACTACTCAATCGAAAATGAAATAAATAAATACTACAACTGTAGTGAGGAAGACATGTCCAGTGCTGTGCAATTCATGGACAATATGCCCAGTTTAATATGTACATTGGAATAAAATGTAGGATGATAGCGTCATCACTTTAGAAGCCAAGCTATGTACAAGCAGTTTATATACAATGTGTGAACAGGTTAGGTGTGTTGACAGCCATAGCCATAATTCACAAACACAATGGGTGGCTTGGACCAGGGGAGGACGGTGCAGTTGCCAGTGTCTACAGCGAGTCGTCAAACTCCTGATCTGGATCCTCATCAGAATCTGAGCTGGAGTCAGACTCTTCAAAGTCGTCAGCACCAGTACTTTCCTCGCTCTCACTGTTTTGGTCGCCTTCACATGCAGTTGTTCCCACATCTGCGGCACCGGAGCTGTCGTTCTGTTCGAGTACGGCCCCAAACGGATTGGCGCATGAGCAGCACGAGCAGATGTCCGTGCAAGCCAAGGACGCCTTCTTGCACGAACAGTGCTGACTTACGCAGTGCCTTGTCTTGCACCCACAGCTCACCAGTTTTAGTATGTCAGCAGGAGCGACGCGCTGCAGCATCCAGGAGATGGAAAGCGTGCCGTCAGTCTCCGACTGCCAGCCATGGCCCACTGGACTCGGTACTTCTGGCATCGCAGTGGTGGCGCTCCGCCAAATGTGGGCCTGGTAGTTAGCCCTGGCCACATGTTGATGGAGAGCGTCGCGTGAGGGCGGTAGTTTGTGCGGAGCACAGGATGTGGCCGCACAGAACTTTTGGTAGCGCAGGCTGTTGATGTCTTGCTGGCCAGGATTGCCATACAAGGCACACGCAAACCACTCACATTCAGAAAGTAGCTGGTCATCCGATGTAGCATTGACACCCAGTGTCGCCAGTGCCTCTGCCATTCGCGTGCTTGACAGGAGCAGCTTCAGCGGAGCAGTCTTTCCCTTCCCAGAAAAGGAACTGACACTGTCACACCCAGTAAGAGCATGCAGTCCAACAATTGCAGACGAAACCAGGGGGCCCAGCTTCTGTGACAGCTGGGTAAGGTCGATGAACCGCCTCCGTTGCTGCGTGCCAGTCTGGAATATGAGCCGACCGGGAATGCTGCTAGCGGAGCCAATGGCAATCACGGCTACATCCGTGTCTGGCGACCGAATGACAACATCTGGGAATCCTTGCTGCACAGCATCAGCGGCATGAAGGATCAGCCGGGTGTCTGCTTCCTCATGATTGCTGGTCAACCTGTGAACATGATCAAAATTGTAAAAAGAGCAAAATGATTTCCCGGGCATTCAGAGAACGATAACATGGCTCTGCCAGATTATGTGATTTTCATCACTGAATTCAATCCATCAGCAATATCCTACTTGTACTTGTGGGACCAATATGCAGCAAATGTTTTATACCACTTGCTTGACAATAGTCAAAGTCGCAATAAACATGACATTGTACTGTTTGTCTTTTATAATACTAACCTGGACACCTGGTGCCGTGAAAGTGTCCATTTCCCTTCTTCTTCTTGCAACACGTAGCACTGCTGTCCCACGGTTATGAATACACTGCGACTGACACCCAATGTTGCCTTGAGCTCCGGTGTAGAACTCCAATGGTCAGCGAAGAACTGGATTAGGCCGGCCTTATTCGCTCCGCTTGCCATGAACCGCTTCCACTGAGTAGGAATAGCCTGGTCTGGACGTTGTACTGCCACTCGCAGGGGCTCAGTTGAGGCCGTTCGCTTTGAGCGCTCGCACGACTTAATCGACGCAGTGTGGTATTGATCTGCTACGAAGTCAACTCGTGCTGGAGGTGTAGCTGGAAGGTAGGAGACTAGCTGCTTGAAGACTTGTTCGCTGAGCTGTCCGAATGTCGGTGGCGCAGATGTGTAGCTCTGCAGTAATGCCATCGCGTCGACCATAACAGCAGGACCACGCGGAACTGACTCCAGTGGGTCAACTTTCTTCTCAAGAGCAAGCAGCAGCTTACTCTTTGGAGTCTTCACAAGGGATCCGTCTGCGTTGGCCAGGGCCCATGGGACTGGTCCAAGCTCATGCTGGAAGAGTTCCTTCAAGTCGAATGACCTTGATTGAGCCATAACTAGTAGCCGGCCGAATAAGCTCCTATCTGCCACGATCGCTGTTGTCTTGGAAGACTTCTTTGCTGCAGATTTGGTTTCCGAGAACGTCTTCAGGTTCAGCCGTGATATCGGTGTGAAGAAATCAACTGCCTGTAGGAAGAAACAAGTCACGCATGCACACACACACAAATGGGTTGACAACTTAGAACGTAGTGCATGGATTACGGAGTACAGAACGGAATTATAACATCCCCTACAGCGTCACTTTTGATTTCAATGTGTTTGGTAACAAAGTATGTCACCAAAACATGCATCCTATCATATATCCACACGTCAAGACTTTTAACATGGTGTGCTGCAAAATCATAACCGTCTTACCTGACTCTCCAAGCGGTCTGCCACGAACTTGCTCATTGCACTCTTTCCCTGCGTGTGACTGGATAGGAGATCGGAGGTTGCTTGAGCAGAACAGACTTTCCCACTGGAGAGGCTGATCAAATCTTCACCAAGGAACGGATGGCTGAACTCTGCCAACCGCTTTTCGAGCTTCCCATAGTCGCTTTGATCCCGTTTCATTCTGCTGTCTGTGTTGTCCTTGTGTGGACGTGCTGTGCCATCATAGTCCTCCGCTTTGACGAGGTCGTTACATGCACTTGCAACAGCCGCTCGCTCGTGAGCTGTGAGCACCCAGCGGTGAACAGTTCCTTTATAGGACAATTATACAGAAAAGGGAAGGAGAAATACATCATCATGTACATGTAATCCACAACTGTTCAGGATCACATTAGAGTCGAATCATTTCCTATTCGTGATGCAGGTGGGCAGCACTGTGTTTGCATAGTGTACATTGGTTGCTTACTGTTTGATCTTGCATGTGGGATCATCAGGAAGTATCTCCCCATCAGTGTACATGTATGTTCTATTGGATAATTTGAAGTTTGGTCAGTTGTTACGAATTTTTGCCCTTACCTGGGTTGCGGCTGAAGCCATTGAGTCCTCCATGTGACTTGCTTTGCCGGTTGATGGTCTGTTCAATGCACTGATCAACAGCCACCTTCGAGAAGCTATTCGTAGACCTTGCAACAGAGAAGCAACCTCCTGATAGGGCTTTGTGGGCAGGAGGGTTGGTAGCAGGCAGTTGACGCATTTGTTGCCAATACAGCGACAGGTACCTGTGAAGCACAATGTAATGAGAACTCAATTTAGGAGAACTGAATGATTCGTATTTGAAGCAAAATGTTTTAATTGCGTCGGTCACACAGCTGATAACTTAATGAAGGGCCCAAGCATCTCACCTGGAGTAGTTCTGTCGATCGTATGCAAAGAACCATGGCAACATGTTCTCTATGCATGCCAGATGTAGCGACCAGTTCCCTGTCCGCGTAGCTCGGATGAATTGAAGCAGCAGGCCAACCATGTCGAGGTATGTTAGCCAAAACTGGGCCATGGGTGATGCTGGGCTGGTGCGTTGCAGCTGAACATGCTTTCGGTACCCTTGCTCAAGTTTCTGGTAGCTGGATGAACTGGTTACTGACTCAGCACCATCAAATATACCAGATGTGCGCAATGCTGACAAAGTTCCTTCAAGATCGCTTGACACCGTGTCTCCTCCACCTTCAATACATGAACACACACGCACATGTACATAGGTCAGAAAATTAGAACACAAAGTGCTACATGCAGACCACTGGAGTGAGAACAACAGGCACCATTTCTCAAACTACTTCACTTCGTCTAGTGTGCACAGATGGAATGCAATAAAGAAAGTTTGCAGCACAACTCCTATGTTTCTGTCCCCTCACCTTCAATGCTGTCCTCGTACAGCTTCCAGTTCACTCCCAGCAGACACTCAAAGGCAAGCTTATGGAGGCGAACACCGCGGTTGTAATGCTTGCCGGCCATCACCTGCTTGCACGCATTGCTGCCAACTACGCCTGACTCGACGAGGAGGTCTTCCAAGCCAGCACTGCCAAACCTCTTCCCAAGAACAGCAAGGAAGGCACACGACGTATGGAATGCACCCATGCGAAGGACTACATCCTTCAGCTCAGCATTTTTCCAGCAAACTTCCACAGCTTTGGCATAAACTGCTTGGTCGGCGGTGATGATACAATGTGGCTGATTCAGCTTCTTCGATGTGCGGAGGGACCGGACAACAAGCTCATAAACTGTGCTCATGGCTGTAGGCGATGCTGAGATGATCGGCAGGTAACCGACTGTTGTTGGTGTCCCTGGCGCGGTTGACTGGTTCAGTTCAGCATTGAAGCCGGACCATGCGGGTACCAGTTGTGACTCGTCATCAGGTCTACCAAACTTCGGTGATACCGTCTGGTCTGCGCGCAACAAGAACCAAATCAGGTCAATCGATGCCACAGTGAGAAATGGGTCAATCGAGCCTTGTGCATCAGGAACTGGATGGGCCATTGGAGGAGGTCTTGGTCTCGCACCGCAGTTGTATTCTAGGCTCGGAACTGCAGGTGGGGCAACACTTCGCGGTCGGCGTTGGTTACCTGGCTCGGCACGGCTCGTACTTTCTGGTGGACACGGATCGTCCTGGAAGGGCAGCGAGTGCTGGAGCACAATGCCGTTGGTGCAGTGTGTCGTCCCTTGGCCACTCAGAGTTTCCTCGTTGAGGTCGTTATTGTCCCAGCAGAAATGAACATCACCTCCATGCTGGGAAATGCCACGGGGTACTACAACACTGCTGGCTGCGGAACTTCCTGCTACTTCGAGAGAATACCCGGTTTCTACTTCTCGCAGCTTTGAATACGATATGCCATGGCCGAACTGGTTGAGAAGATCCACCATGTGCTTGCTCCTCGTGTGGTGGTGGACAGTAAGCGCCAAAGCTACGTGCTTTGGTGTCAGAATAGATCCACGAGTTGCAGCATACACAATATCCTCAGCAATTGCCAAAATCTTGCAATGGATGTCGGCAGGGACATGGACACGGGAGTCCGTCAGGTCACCAATGTCACACTTCTCAGGGCCGACAATGGTCATGGCAAGCACATTGTAGAGGATGTCTGGCACTGGCGCATTCTCATTTACGATATCACTGGCATGTGGCATGGTGGGTATTGTGGGCTGCTGATCACGGATGGCGTTGTTCAGAGCCATGGCTGTGTGGAAGGCATGTACCTTGCAGCTGCTATCAATAGCTGGAGGTGCATCGTCATCCGCCATATCATCTCCAGCATATTCGTCGGCGCACTGCTGGGCTGCCTCAGCCTTGGCTACTGCTGCACCAACTACTTGTAGCAGTTGTGATTCTGTCAAGGAGCTGCTTACAACGCTCTCGGGTGACAATGGACCAAGACGGACGAAGTTGATGCGTTTTCCAAAATGCTCCAACAGGCGCTTCTTCAGCAGCCATCGTCGGTATTGACTTGCAGCTCCGAGCTCTGCCAGCTTGGCGCTGTACTTGGACGTCAGGCTGTCCATACGCATCGCTCGTATTTCTGTCTCACTGAAGAGCTCCTTCTCCATGCATACAGCCAGCCACTCAAAGGCTCTATCGTACACATTGTCGTCTGCAACTGCCGTCGTCTTCTTTGCCTCCAGTGCTGCCACCGTGCTAGAATGAGTGTAGTTACGGTAGCAGCAGAAATGGTAGCATATGTCCGATGCTACACAATCGGGACTGCCCTCCTGGAGGGTAAGTAAAATCCGCTGGCCTGCTTCATCTCCACGTGCATTTGCCGCACGGATCAGGCTTTCGCCAGCACGGAATTCTGAACAGAGGGTAAGCGGTTCAGCTTTCCGGTTCTTTTTTGTTTTGTTTTTTGTTGACATATTATACACAGAGTGATGTCGATGGTTGTCACTTTGCTTCGTGTCATAACACGCTTCTTGGGAGGTTCATCCTCACAGGCATCTGCGTCACCCACCTCCTCTGCGTCAACATTGCTGGCAAGGCCACCACTCTCCTCTCCCTCAAAACGACTCAGAGTCTTCTTGTGGGTGTAGGCTGCATAGCAGCGCCTATGGTACCAGCCACGCGGGGTGCTCTCATCCGTGCTACACTGCTCCTGGCAGAGAAAGGCCCATGTGCCGTCCTGGCGAATTTTGGCAGCAGATACCACTCGAGACCAGCTGGTGTTCGTGAAATTTACTTTCTCCTCCTTTTCGCTTCCTTCGATCTTCACACAGTGGCACAAACATGAGCCCCACGAAATTTCCGAAACCTGAGTACTGGCTGAAGCCACTAAATGCCCAACACTACCTGGACTTTGTGCACAGGAGGCACAATTCTCGTCTTCCTCCATGCTTACTCGCGTGGGATTGAAATTGAAAGACCTCGTGCTTCCTCTAATAAGTTCCCCGGCCAGCGTCGTCATTTTCTACGGCGTCGTCATTTCCTAAATTTTTCAAATGTTTGTCGTGGGTGCGCAATGTGTGCATGCTCAAGCCATGCGCGTACGGACGCACGGCGAAAATAAATTTGCGACCTCCTTGAGAACGCTTGAGAAGGCTTGCGAAATCGTCGACGAAAACCCTCTCGCCGCTCGTCTCCTTCCCCGATTCAGAAGGGCCAACAAACAAAATTGACCTTCTATAACCATCACCTATCAGCTCTGAAAGCGGCAAATACTCGGAGTGAAGTGGCAGACCCAATTTTATTTTTGAGCTTCGGATCCTGTACTATATGACCGCTATCTCAATGTTATGACTGCGGTGGCACTGATCTTTGGCTATGGTGCCGGGTGGGTCATATACATTAGTTGCCTTGAGCCATGTATGGTCCGGGGCAGAGCAACAGACATAAGAGTGTCTAGCCAACAGCATGCTCTGATGACAGCTACACAATAGTACAGTGGTTAGGTCATCGCTGGCCTCAAGCAAAAGTCCCCGGTTCGAGTCCTGGTGGTGGCAGCCAATTTTTCCCTTTTCCATTCCTTCTACTCGTGAACAACGGCGGCTTGTCCATCAACTTTTTAACAGATATACGTACATGCATGCATATGGTCTAAGAGAAATAATTCACTGTGTGCGAATGTTTGCATTTGTTGTGTCCTTTAGGAAAGTCATCATGCTGATGTACGACCTAATCACACGTGCCACAGGAGAAGTAAGCTATTGTAATAGCAGAAATGTTCGGCGGTGTTTTATTTTCGGTCACTTCGGCGCCGACAATTTTTACCTGAAATGAAACGCACCAAAAATGTCGATACTTACCTGGAAAACGGGTTTACCGAAAATGTTCCCTCCACCGAACCGCCCATTTTGAAGAATACCGAAAAAATTACACCACCGAAAATTTCTGCTGTTACAGTATGTCTCATAGGACGTGGTGAACTTGGAATGATACGTACAATATAAAGTTACTCACTGCAGTTAATTCAAATAGTTTAGTCACTCTGGCTTTTGAAAGCCTGGTTTTGGCCGAATGAAGCTCAAAAACTCACTTAAAATTAGAAAATTTGGGTTTAGGACCTGCTTCACCATGCATTTTGCCCTGGTAAACCTGTCCTGATTTTGTAAAATCTGGCCAAACTTCTTACTCATCCCTGGACTTTAAACCCTCAAATGTAGCAAAGAAAATGTGCACGGGCAATACAATGAGGGATAGTGTGTTGCTCCCTACGTGGGAGCTCGTGCTTTCCTTGGCAACTTGACATTTGTCTGACTCACGACTGCCATTCAGGGAACACGAGAAGTCCGTCAAACCATCCACTCGACAAACCTACCACTATACGTTCCAGACACCAATACCGAAACCGTTGGGGTACCAGTCTTAGATGAATGGACTCTTCTTGTATTTTTAATGCAACTGCACTTCTGGTCCGGGTAATTTTGACTAAACAGGCGATCTGAAACTGTATACGATGTGTTTGACATGTCCTACCTGTGTTCTGCATGGGTATGTAACTATGGCTCCACTCTTACTCAGCACTACTGTGTTTTGTTTGTGGCCATTTTCTCAGGATGGCATCACCTTTGAGCACTTTTCCGGTATAATGAAGTACTACAAGCCCAGAATGGGTAAGACCACGCACACGCACTCTCTCACACACACACACACACACACACACACACACACACACACACACACACACACACACACACACACACACACACACACACACACACACACACACACACACACACACACACACACACACACACACACACACACACACACACACACACACACACACACACACACACACACACACACACACACACACACACACACACACACACACACACACACACACACACACACACACACACACACACACACACACACACACACACACACACACACACACACACACACACACACACACACACACACACACACACACACACACACACACACACACACACACACACACACACACACACACACACACACACACACACACACACACACACACACACACACACACACACACACACACACACACACACACACACACACACACACACACACACACACACACACACACACACACACACACACACACACACACACACACACACACACACACACACACACACACACACACACACACACACACACACACACACACACACACACACACACACACACACACACACACACACACACACACACACACACACACACACACACACACACACACACACACACACACACACACACACACACACACACACACACACACACACACACACACACACACACACACACACACACACACACACACACACACACACACACACACACACACACACACACACACACACACACACACACACACACACACACACACACACACACACACACACACACACACACACACACACACACACACACACACACACACACACACACACACACACACACACACACACACACACACACACACACACACACACACACACACACACACACACACACACACACACACACACACACACACACACACACACACACACACACACACACACACACACACACACACACACACACACACACACACACACACACACACACACACACACACACACACACACACACACACACACACACACACACACACACACACACACACACACACACACACACACACACACACACACACACACACACACACACACACACACACACACACACACACACACACACACACACACACACACACACACACACACACACACACACACACACACACACACACACACACACACACACACACACACACACACACACACACACACACACACACACACACACACACACACACACACACACACACACACACACACACACACACACACACACACACACACACACACACACACACACACACACACACACACACACACACACACACACACACACACACACACACACACACACACACACACACACACACACACACACACACACACACACACACACACACACACACACACACACACACACACACACACACACACACACACACACACACACACACACACACACACACACACACACACACACACACACACACACACACACACACACACACACACACACACACACACACACACACACACACACACACACACACACACACACACACACACACACACACACACACACACACACACACACACACACACACACACACACACACACACACACACACACACACACACACACACACACACACACACACACACACACACACACACACACACACACACACACACACACACACACACACACACACACACACACACACACACACACACACACACACACACACACACACACACACACACACACACACACACACACACACACACACACACACACACACACACACACACACACACACACACACACACACACACACACACACACACACACACACACACACACACACACACACACACACACACACACACACACACACACACACACACACACACACACACACACACACACACACACACACACACACACACACACACACACACACACACACACACACACACACACACACACACACACACACACACACACACACACACACACACACACACACACACACACACACACACACACACACACACACACACACACACACACACACACACACACACACACACACACACACACACACACACACACACACACACACACACACACACACACACACACACACACACACACACACACACACACACACACACACACACACACACACACACACACACACACACACACACACACACACACACACACACACACACACACACACACACACACACATACACACCACACTAGTGCACAGAGCTCTATGAGGTAGCCTACCTGTTTTTCCTCGTTAGCGGGGAGACTCATGGCAGCCACTAAGATCTGGAATGCCCGAGCCGGCAGGTGCAATGCCTAACGGTGGGTGTGACAAGAGCGGCGGAAGCAGTTTTTGCTTGATCCGGCCATACCATATGGTGTTTATGATATGGCGGGTGCAAATGAGTTTTCAGCAGTGTAGGCATGCACTGGTCACCAAAGAGTTGGATGGGCCATGGCCTGACCAACTGTTCCGACCCATGTACCCTGGTGCCCTGGCCATAAGTAACTGGTTCTACTTCTAGTTGACTGTGGAGCAGCAGTGCTAGGAAACGCTCCCATAAGGGAAAGGAATGGCAGATAAATTACCGTATTTTCCCCATGAAACGTACACGTCTCCAATACTAGTAGTAGTACGTTTCCAATTGTAGTACATGTTGAGAGCGTGGATCAAAAATATAAAAGGACACGTCTCTAAAAATAGTACATGCAGGAATGATGTGATGGGCATTACTGAGGTACAGGGACCAGGGTCCACTTTACTTCGTTTTTCTTAACCGTTCATCATCTTTGTGTCTTTGTACATTGATTCTTTCCATGGTTGGATGTATTTACAGCCTTACAGCATCATTATCACGAGTTGTTTGCCACCCAACCCAGGCAATCAATCTTTCCAGAAACAATAAAAGTACACGTCTCCAATACTAGTACAGTCTCCTATAGTAGTACAGGTCTGACCACATTTGAAAAAATAAAAAGTACTGTACATTTATCGGGGAAAATACGGGTATGTATCCTACAGTCGCACATGTATGTTCTATACGATAGGTTTATTGAGTCTAGAAAGTGCTAGAGGCCAAACTGGCTGACAAGCTTGGTTTCTGTCTTTCACTAAATGCTCTGACTCATTATATATTGTGTGATGTGCACATGTTGTTGTTGTTGTTGTTGATCAGGTCGACGTGATCTGCGATGTGTGTACCTGTATCTAGCACGTGGCAACTCTGATCGTCTAAGGTAGTGTGTACTACTGTTGTGGACTGATTGAAATCCGATGGGATGACCGCGGCCGGTGCCCTTACTGCCTTACTGCCTTTTAGGCGCGTACATGCACTGTAGTTCACGCATACTCTGTAGAAATGGACCAGCAGTGGTCGTCGCGGCTGCAAGGCCAGCACCTCGCGGCTGCAAGGCCAGCACCTTGTGGCCGCTTGACTTCTCAACGGATTTCAATGTCCACCTCAGTAGTAGGAGGGCTACACACAAGACCTTATACGCAAGACCTTACACTGGGCTTCTGCTCAGGGTGGTTACAGCAAATACACATTAGCAGTGGCACTCTGTCTCCATCTTCTAAAATGAA